CATGACATTTTTTACAGTGTATGAAAAGTGAAAAAAACAACTTTCAAGATGGATGCAAAATTTTGCGCAGTAAACGAAAATGCTCTTGTTATATCATTATTGCCACTGATGGGCCAGTATCGGCCCAATGTCTGATGTTCTGCTTCGGCAAATCTTCGTTGGACGATTAATGGCTTTTTTGAAACTACCCAGTTCAGGTAATTTTACAAAGGAACTTTATCCAACCTTTAAAGAATTCGCGAGCATTGGCTAGCTATTATCGGACCAGTATATATACTTGCTGTCTGAGTTATATAGATTGATTAAATAACAATATATTTTGAAATATTTTCGTAAAACAAATATTAAAACATTTGTTTTACGAAAATGTTTTAAAATATATTGTTAATATTTTCTGAAACATTTTCGTAAAACCAATATTTTGCTCATTAATTTTAATATTTTAAATGCATTTACAGGGGCGGGCCCAGGAAATTATTTGGGTACATCTGGTTTTTTGGAAAAATCTTCCGCAGGGCCGTCCCGAAGGATGAAGGGGGGTGTCAGGGTGTTTCTCACCCCCTCCCCTTAAAGCTATCTTACAAGCATTTGAGTTAGCACATTGAGCAAGTTTTGAACTATAATTGGCATATTGGAAATATTGAGGAACTTTTTTTTTTGTCCCTAGTCTTTAGTTGAAAAGCACAAAAATACATACACACCACCATGGAAGACCTCTTCTGTTAATCTATCAAGATTATTCGAGGTCTAGTATTAAAAGAGGTCTATTAAATTAACCTAATAAAAGCTTTTTTTCAATCAAAAATATGCAAGGTTATCACTGGGGCACTTTACTTTTAGATTATAAAATTATATATTTACACATTATTTACAGATCTATTATTGAAAACTATATTTTCAAAATACCATAAATAAAATAAATGACACAATGCAAAAATTTTATTTATATTTTAACAAATATATTATAAAATAACAACAATTATAAAACATTTGTATATTAAATATGCAATTTTAAATTATATAAAGAAGTATTTAGAGATTTTTTTAACAAAATGTGACATTCTTAATGCCACATTTTGTAAAAAAAAATTAAAACATTCATTTTAATAAATCATGCTGATAAATACATAAAAATTGAAAAAAATCAAATAAAAACACAAAAGCATTTTAATATTATATTATAATGCATTATAATAATATATTATAATATTATATTATAATAATATATTATAATAATTATAATTATAAAAGCCAATATAATAAATACAACTTAGTATTTTATATATAAAAATGATAACACCAAATAACACCAAATTGGAGTTATTATTGTTTGGCACTATACCAGGTTGCTTAACATATATATTTCAGGCGCCAAAATAAATAATATGTCCACTCACATTCACATAAAGTTAATATAAAAGTAGCATGTAAATTTTCAATATTTTTACAACCAGGAAAATTTATCACTTTTAACAACTCAGTAATATAAATATTGAAACTACCTTTTTAAATTTAACTAAAAGGCTTCACATAAATGAAGCTCACAAGGTTAAAGCATGGGAATTCATTAGATCTGTTTTATAAAATTCACTAACAGATATAATTGAACTTCTGAAATCATTTTTGTAGGAGTTAGCACAAAGTTCTTGAAAACAATCCACAAAAGTAAACCTTTTCCACCCAACATGTTCAACATGGAATGGTACTTTCAATATGCTCCTCTAAAATTTGTTGCCTGGTATGTACAAGTTTAAAAAGTTTGATATTAAAGTGTGTTAAAAAATAAAGTGTGTCCTCATTAAAGTGTGCCAAAAAAGATGCTTCTCATATTGCTAAACATGACATAGTGCTAAAAAGATACTTGACATATTGCACTTTGTATAAAACACCAATAACAAAATTAAGTCTATGACTGTTGCAATGAGCATATGCAGCTTTAGATTTAGATTTAAAATACAAGAGGACAAATCTTTAGTGTGACCATCAATTGCTCTAGCACCACCATATCACAATTTATGAAATATAAAAAAGAATCTAAAATATTTTTTACCAAAAAATAAAATAATCCCTACTAGTAACACTAGTAGGGATTTTTTATTTTTACTTGTGAAACTGATAATTTCTCTAAGAAACTGATAAATTAAAATCAATAAGACTTTTGTCTATGTATATTTATATTTAATACTAAACTATTTTTAACTCAAATATACTTGATTTGGAATATGATATAATATCATTTTCCGAAAATTATATTACTCATATATTAGTCATAATTAAAATAACTTAGTAATTACCCATATATCAGTCATATCTCATGCCAGAATCATGTAAGTTGACCTTAAAGCAACTTAGACAACAACCCAGACAGCAAGTATATACTGGTCCAATAATGGCTAGCCAATGCCAGCAAAATCTTTTAAGGCCCAATAAAGTTCCGTTTTGCATTGCCAGTTCTGGGAAGAACTGGCAATGCAAAACGGAACTTTATAACGTAATAGAGCCATTGCCGAACCTTTGTAAAATTGCCTGAGATGGGTAAAAAAACTATTATTGGTCCAACAAAGATTTGTCGAAGCAAAACAACAGACATTGGGCCGATGCAGGCCCATCAGTGGTAAAATCAATATTAACAAGAGCATTTGCGTTTACCGCGCAAATTTTTGCATCTATCTTGAAAGTGGTTTTTTTCACTTTTCATACAGATGTATCATAAAACTTTATTGTTTAAAAAAATGCTTTCAGGTGATTTTATATTGCGTACATAATAATTTATAAATAAATTATTGCAATTAATTCTTTTGTTAAATAAATAAAGTTTCGTATGGGATGTGTTGTTACACTACAAATAACATAATGATCATGATATACTAACATTGTTTACATTAAACCTTAACCATTAAATTGATTTAATGTTTAATTTTTTTTTTCACCAAGCTAAAATTGGTTTAATAAAGTTAGATAAAGAAACATAAAACCTAATTTATGGTAACTAAAGAATGATTGATATTGATAAAAAAAACTGATTGAAATGTTGGCTTGATAGAAAAGAAAATATATAAAATGTATGTATATTATTGGGTAGATTACTAAAACAATTGTGCTTTATTTTATTATCTTTTTGTTGTCATATTCATAACCTTTCTGTAATATAGTTTGATTGATGATAACGCATTTATCTTTTATATTCTTATAATTAATTAGGAATAAAAACATTTTTTTATTTTTTTATAAATATAGTATAAAAATGTTATTGTGTTATGCAAAGTTTTTGAAGTCAAAAAATGGATACCTAAGTATTAAATAAGAAAAGTTACCAAGTGTATATATATCTAGATTTGAACATATGTGTTTATAACAAAATAATTTGAAGAATTCGTTATTGACTTTATTTATTTATTTTTTTTTTTTTCTTGCAGTTTAATCGTTTTTTAATATTTTTTTCAAATAAATTTTCTAATTTATTTACTTATATATACAATAAATAAACCAACAAAGTTGTGATACACATTATTAGTGTATAGTCTAACAAAAGTAGATGCCACACTCTAAAAACGAGTCCGTTAAAATTAACGGAATTTTTAACGGAGTAGTCCGTTGTTTTATAGCTGAGTGAGTTGTCCGTAAAATTTACGGACTCAATATTTAACGGAGTCAGTCCGTTACATTTTTTTAACGGAACATTACGTAAAGTTTGCAGATAAGTCCGTTAAAAGGTTCCACTTTCTCACGTTTTAATTATACGCTAAAGAAAGGACTTTTATGCAACTTTTTTTTCTTATGTTAGCAACTTAATAATTTTTTTATAAAACAAAATTATTAACATTAGAAAATGTTTATAATGTTAGTTGTATATGTAACTTCCTCAAGTTTTCAAAATATTTATTTCATTATATTTAATCAAATGATGATTATAATATAACCAAAATGAATTTCACATTTAAAGACTTTGTATTGGCTTATGTTAGAATCAGCACAAAAACGCTTATTCAAGTTTAAAATGTATTTATAATACCGTTTATAATTAAAATATATAAAAAACATAAGAAAAACAAATAATATTGAGAAAAAAAAAATTATATATTGTTTATTTCTTAACTATCTTCGACATCGCTTGAAGCTGATAAACCGATGCTGGAAATGAGTGTTTTTCTCCCAAATTGTAAATTAATTGTAAAAATTTAAAAAAAGTCGCACATTCTTCGGTATACTCTAAGTTGAAACACCAAAAAAGTTTAAACAATCGCTCGATACCCTCTTCAATTGATGATCCAGCTGTAATTATGGATTTTTCAGCAGCTGTTTTTACCAATAAAAGTTTTTCATTGACGCTACCTTGTATCAGAAGCAATGGGTATGGTTTCCAACAATTTTCTGCAGCTTCTGTCATGGAACTTCCTGGCTGAAATACAAAAAATAATCATTGGGTGACTTAAAGTAAAATTATTTGCTATACTAACTATTTCATATTTTTATTTTGTTCTGCAGTATAAGGTAAACATAACACATAGTCATCGTGTACTATAAATACTTTATTAAACATGGATTATAAGATTTTGTATTACAATTTCTGGATTTATATTTGTATAGCATTTATTTCATTACACTTACGTACCAACAGCCCCATAAGGCATTGAAACAGCACAAAAAAATTAAATTAAAATTTAGTAAATGGATATTAGTTATATAATATAGTTATATATAACATATATTATATTATATATTTTATATAATATAATACAGTTAGTCACTATTTATTTATAAAATTATTACATAATATGGATGAAAAGGTTAAATTTTTTTTATCTAATTACACATTGGGAAAATTATAAAAAATAACCTCAATAATCCTCATTAAATGGTCGAAAGACTCCAGTCCTGAAATCCTTTTCCGTTTCACGGTTGTTCTCAGCATAAGTGAAATAATTTTGCAAGCATGATACGCATGCCAACCTTTAAAATAGAATAATTTGAGCAGTCATGGTTTGGTTCTGATAAATAAATGATAAAAAATCTGTAGTGCAGTCAGAAAACATCATTTGAAGTTCGACATCTAACTGTAATATAAAATATATATTGCACATTATTATGCCACTTACATGCTTTATAAAATGTCAATTTCATGAAAGCAATAAAAAAATTCTTGTAAATCATGTGTGTTTTTTTAAATACATGTATTTCTATTTTTGTAAATTTAAATGGCTTTTCAAAAATGTACACTTAACACAAGTTTTAGAATACTAAATTATAAAATACTAAACTATAATAAAAATATTATTATAAAAAACTATTATAAAAATACTAAATAATAAATTTAGAATACTTACTAGTTCTGGAATGGTTTGAAATTTTGGATACATTTTTAATATGGAAGACAAGGTGGGTGATTCATTCATTATCCAAAATTGTCTAATGCAAAAAGTTTTTTCCAGACACTCCTTAACTTCATGCGTACGAGTTTCATGCGTAAGACTTTCTCTTCATTTTTTTCTCCTCTCGCGAAAACTGTCTCGCGGTCTCTTTAATATCATTGAAACCCATCTGGTATTTTGAAATAGATCCTCTTTTTTTCCTTTGGGCATTAAGCCATAGAAGTTCAACCTTTGAAATTTTTTTCTCTTTTACACAAGTTCATTTAATATGTACTTGTTTGACGTAAGAATAAGTTTTCAAACACAACTCGTTACATAACATAATTTCACACTTGCACATGTTATATCTAGAAATTCATCCAGTTTTGATTCCCAAAAAGACACGTGTGTCTGAGAAGCTTTCCCATGTGCTATATCTTTGATCTTGTTCCAGGAAAACTCAATTTTTTCCACCAAAGTTCTTTCCAGTAACCACTGGAGGTTTAAAAAGAGCATTTGCTTTTATCTACTGCTGAAAAACGATATCAGCTAGTAGTCGAGAAAAGTCTCTCAATCAAATATTCCTTCTAAAGACAAAAATATATAATATAATGCAGAATGTATAATTTAATTCATAAATTTTGAGTTTCTTGATTATTACCTGTTAACATCTTCTCGAAGTAGAGCTTCTTGGATACCTTTTCTCAAAATATCTCTTAAAGTTGGCACTTCTGAGGGAATAAGATCCTTACTTCTGCCTAAATATGTTGATAACTTTGTTTCCATAGGGAGTCTTGTGTTTTTTGAAGTAGTCATAGTTAATTTAATATAATTATTAGAATTGGCATTTATATGATTGCAAATAAAAACAAGAACTCTTTGTATACAGTTTTCAAACCACGAAAAACTCATAAAAACATAATTACACAGTAAACTCATAAAACTCGTAAAAGATAAACTCATAAAAACATAATTACAAAGTTGAATAGTCTGAAATCACTTACAATTCAACCGCCAAGTGAAATAACAACATCATTATTAAGATACACTTTTAATTATAGTCATTTTAACTGATTTATAAAGACATAAAAATAAAGTCTGAAATTTTCTTGTAAAAAAATGCCAATGAATGTCCTTGTTATTTAAAAAATTTAACATTATAATTTATACTTTAACATTTTTTTTCAATCTTATAAGGCCATTTTCCCCGCAAAAATTTAACTTTTTTAGAAAAAAAAAATATTCACGTTTCACAGCATATGGTAATATAAAAAAATCTAAATAGTTTCATATTTCAATAAATTTAATATTTTGATTGTTTTGAATTTTGAGTTTAATGTCTTAATCAGGACAAATTGTCTTAATCAAATACAATCAGTCAATCAATATATCAATCAATATCAATCATTTTATATTTTAGAATACAAAAGTTGTTACAACTCAAGGTCATTTACAAATAGTAATGAACTAATCCAAAGTAAATACCAGATATTAATGGCAATAACAAATAAAAATGAAAATAATAATAACAATAATAATATTATAAATAGTATTAAAGACATTCATTATATAAGAGTAATGTAACACCAAATAATTATAACTACAATCCATACATATGATAATAATAAATACAACACATACATAATAGCAATGTTTAATAAATATTTATTAGCAAGAATAATAGTCATATAAACAAAAAATAAATTTAAATAATTTAAATAAATCATTACTAAATGCCACACAACAATCGTTTATACATACAAAGTTACAGTTAAAAACAGTAATAAACAGACAAAACGTAACAACTAACAATGATATAAAAAAAACTATTGTTTAAAAATTCTAAAGACTTAGTTAATATAACAATCATAATTGTTGTAATATAATAACCATATAATAATATAATTACTGCAAAAATAATAAACAAATAAATAAAATAAAAACTGATAAAAATAAAACAAAAAAAACACACACAAAAGCGTTATGAAACAAAAGAACTTATAACAACAAAAAAAAACAACATAATAAACAAAACATTTAATGTAATAAAATAAACAACAAATAGTAGTACCAATAAAAAAGCATAAAAACAACAAGAAAATGTAAAAACACATAAAATATACATCTGCTCGTTCGTTATTCGAGCAATAATTTTGTATTATTTCTTTTTTTTATTAATTTACTTCTCTATGTATTGTTATTTTTATTGTTTCTTTTGCTTTCGTTTTTTTTTCTTTGTTTCTTTCAGTGGGAAAAATATAATTGAAATTTTCAGTCATCTTTAGTTGTAACTATTTGACTGTTTTTTACCATAGTATGGTAAAAAAGTTTTAAAGTGTTTTAAAGTGACAGACAACATGTATATCTTTAAGTACAAGAGTTTTAATTAGCAAAATTTAAATCCGTATGGTCCATACGGATTTAAATTTTGCTAATTAAAACTCTTGTACTTAAAGATATACATGTTGTCTGTCACTTTAAAACATTTTATTACAATTGTATGTACAATTGTACATACAATTGTATGTACAATTGTATGTACAAAATTTGTATGTACAATTGTACATACAATTGTATGTACAATTGTGTGTACAAAATTTGTATGTACAATTGTACATACAATTGTATATAATATTGCTGAAACAAATAATATTGCTGAATAAATTTCACTGATTGTGGAACACAATAATAAAAAATGTTGTGCTAGCATGCTATAAGTAGCAAAACATCATCTATTAATATCACAATAATACTATTAAAAGTGATTGTGGAACTTGTTCCACTATCTTATTTATCTATTTCAGCAATTGTCACAGCTTACCTTATTATTACTGGTATTACCAATACTATCAATATTTACTATTATTATTATATAGGGCTCACCTACAACCATGTATAGCGTTAAGAGGAATACAACATATCTGGGAACCTTCCTTTACTTTTTTATTATAATGTTCAACTTTTTCTTTTGAGTCGATTTTGACGGGGTGAAAATTCATTCTACAATATTCAATATCAGACTTTTTTGCTTCATCAAAATCTCTAAATTTCTTCATGAAAATGTCCTCCATTTTTTAATCTTTAAGAATCTTATTGAAAATCTTATAACTACTAAATTTTATTCAAGAACTCTCTTCGAAAATATACTCGTTGTTTTAAAGCATGCGCATTTTGGAAAATGAAAGTAAATTTTAAAAATATTCTAAAAATAGATTTTCACTGTACCTATCAAAAAACGCATCCTTAGGTACAGTGAATTTTCACTGTATTTATAATTAACGAGAAAAAAGGATTAAAATTATGATGTATTTTTTAAAATAAAGAAATAGCTCAGCTAAGTTAAAGCAAAATTTTAAATAGTCTCATAGGTTTTATGCTATCATTAATAAAAAAAAAGTTTGTGCTATTATGGGTAAAAAAAAAAATAATATAGTTATGTGGGATAAAATTTTTAAAATTTTTTAGTAAATTTTTGACATGGATTTGTTGAAACAACTGTGACTAAATTATGGATTTTTCTTAACTTAAAATGTCATAACTTTATCAATTCTTATCAACTAAATTTTGTAATCTTATTATCTTCAATGAGAAAAATATGTCAACTCAAATTTGTTTTCTTATTCTCTTCTGTGGGATAAATAATTTTTTCAAGCAAAAAATAACTGTTATTTATCTTATTATTAGCATTATATTTAAATTTTAATTGCTTTAGCATTTGCTTACCATTTATTTTAAATGTCTTTGACAAATACGCTTATTGTCTTATTATTATTATTATTTTTTTTCAGGTCTCTTTTTTTTGTCCTTAAAGGGTTTAATAGTTTAATACATTTGTGCCATAAACTGCAGTTGTCAAAGGTTTTATGTTAAGTAGTTTTTCAAAATAACTCACTATTGTTTATAACTATAAAAGTATATACTCATTCTTAACACTTTCAGTGCTGTTGGCTGTTCAATCAATATTTATTTATGGAGGTAGTGCAAAAGTGAAAATTAAATAATTTTTAGCTTTACCATTAAAAAAACAACTTTTTTTTGGGTCATAAAAACAACAAAAAAATGGTAACTTGGAATTAAAATTAAAAAAAAAAAAAAAAAACAACTGATAAATTTAATTATAGATATTAGTCTATTATGGACTTTTTTTAGGACAATGAATAACAAGTATTTTATATGACCTATACCAAATACAGATATAAAAAATATAGATATATAAACACAAATAACTAATTGTTAAACTATAACAATTGACAATCCTGGATTTATCTATAGGCAGACATCTAAAAAAGCTGTGGTTAAGTTATGGCAACTAAATAATATATGCATGGTTAGGATAAAATCTAGTGAAATGAAAAAGTGACATGAAAAAATTCTGCACCTTTTTGAAATAGGTTTCCAAAAAGCAATTTGGCCTTGGGCCCCAAAGGGAGTAAATCCGGCCTTGACAATAGAATAATTTGCGAACAAATAAGTTGCGTGTCAATAATTCAGTACTGTTATTGAAATTAATCATTAAAGTTCTCAGATTAATGACTAATTTAAATTATTAGGTTATGGACAAGTTTAGTTAAAATTTACCTTATTTAAATAATGTGTAAGGAATACCCTTAATAAGATAAGGATAAATGAATACTTAACTTTTACTATATTTCAAATAATATTTCTGATGTTTTCAATTATTAAAGATTTATTTACAATAAAATAAGTAATAAAAAATAAAAAATTGCATTTATTTACTACTTGATAGCAATAATTTAATTGTTGAAAAATCTTTAATTTTTTCTTATTAAGTCAAACTTGTGTGGTAACAACATAAACAAATGTGCCCTCCCCTGGTTTAATTTGGGTTGGTTTTGCCAAAAATATATATCCATATAGAGCATTCTAAAAATGTACTTGCGCATCCAAATTTTTGGATGAAATTTGGCATGCGGCAAGAAAAAATTTTTTTTAACAGTTATAAACTGTTTTAAAAAAATTAACCAACATACCTTGGCTAAAACCTTAAGGCTTAATCAACAACAAGTTTTTAAAACACTAAAGTTTATAAAAAGTTTAGCAATTATAAAAAAGCAAGACCCAGAAAAAAGTTTAACTATTCTTCTTTTTAAATAATATTTAAGTTGATATCAAATTCTAAAAACTAAAGACCAATAAACTCGTTAAAAAACATGACACTGATTTAGGCAGAAAAAAAACGTTTCCATAAAAGTTGAAATAATGCATACCTAATAATAGCATATAATTTAAATAACAACATTGTTGTTGTCAATATATGTCCTTATCTCACAAACAGGTATTTATTTGCTAATTGTTTATTTCAAGTAAAATAAATTGACAACAACAATGCTATTTTTTTAAAATAGTACATTTTAAAATTTTTAATTCCAAATTCTGTTTTTAAAATTAGCATTGAAATATATTTAGAAGTTATATAGTAGTAATATATATATTGAGGAAAAAGTTAGACTTGACTTTATAAAAATATCACTGAAATTTTGACAGTTGTTGTTGTTGTTATATATATAGGGAAGAAAGTGGGTACAAAAGTTTCTGAAAATATAAATTCTGTTTTCCTACTATGCAATGAAATTGTTTATTTTATAAACAAAAACCTTGCTTTATAGAGAAGAAATCATGTCAATATATTAACAGAGGAATTAAAATATTTTTGTGCTTGTAGTCAGGAAAAC